CCCTATTCCACCCCCCCACCCCCGCCAGATCGAGACCCCGCCCCTGTCAGGCCTCTGGTTTCCGGCACTCGGGTTATTTTAAGGCGCGCGTGGTCTGGGTGCCTGACTCCTCGCCAAGCTCCCTACTGCTTCTGGTCCCCCACTTCTCCTTCAAGCCCCTCCAGCATGGGTACCTGGCCCGGCTCGCTGCTCGCAGCCCTCCTGCTGCTCTTCTACACTGTCGGCACTGCGCACTGTGACACACCTGCCAACTGCACGTACCCTGACCTGCTGGGCACATGGTTCTTCCAGGTTGGCCCCGGAGGTTCCCGGCACGATATCAACTGCACGGTGATGGGTAAGCGGCAGGCGTCCCAGGTCTCGATTCCTGTGCCAGCCCGGAACTCCTTTCTTTCTGTCTCTGAGCCCCTTTCTCCGCAGCTCCCCTGCATGAGGCCAGGACATCTTGGCTGGACTAGCGGCCCCTTGGGATGTCCTCTCCTACTCAGGGCTGCCAAGTCCATATTGAGATATGGAAAAATTCTAACTTCAAGTTTTCTTGGTTATTCCCGGGGCCTCAACACTTTTTTCAAAAACTTGCCCCCACCCCTTAATTTTTGTTTTCTGTTTTTTAGTTTGTTTGGTTAGGAAGAGAGTTTAGACTGTGCAATCTTATGATCTCCCCATCCGATCTGCAGGTCTTTTTTTTTTTCTTTTTTTTTCCCTATTAATTGTGCTGGTGAAAATGAGTTCAAAGACTTGAGGATATAGCAAGAAGAAAAGTTTTCTCCTTTTGTTAGGTGTAGGAAACAGTCCTTACGCGTAGCGATTTTGATTTAGACATAATTGCAGGGAGGTATATAAAAGTTTTTTTCTGTTATTCTTTTAATAACTTTTTAGCCAGTAATTATATTTGGAAATGCCCAGAGCCAAGTAGAATGCCTGGCTCATGGAAGGCTTTCAGTAAATACCACGTATGAACACACTGAGAGATTCCATATACCCTCAGGTACCGTGACTATTCCAAGGACAAAGAATTTAGCGATGGGAGAAGTGAAAACACACAATCTTGGTCAAAAGAGGCACTTCTGTTCTGCCCAAACCCTTACCACCGTTCTGTGGCTTTCACAGAATGAGTGAAGCTCTCAGCTACAATGTCCTTGTCAGCAAAACAAAGATTGCCAGGTCATTTGTTACTTAAACAGACCAATTCAGCTGTCCAACTCCAGACAACTGTGTGGCATTGCGTAACCATCTTCTCTTTTGAAAGTTAAACTTAGATGTCTGAAGCAGAAGGGAGATCAGGATTTACACTTTCTGTCACATGCAATCTCTTATTTCAGAGCATTAATCTGCAACATGGAAAAATGGTCTAAAGTGTGAAAATCTCCAGATGTACACAGCAGAACACTTTTCAGGCAGCCTCTGCCTATAAACTGTACTTTTTACCTTAATATAATATTTAAAGACACCCACGGATCTGAACCTCCATCTTCTGAAGGTTAAAAGCTTAATTTCTATCAGCACAAATTAGTTTTATAGGACAGAAACCTGAATACTTCAGAAGGATTCAGATTTTGAAGTTCTGAACTGTAGAGCCATTATAGAGAAAGGTAGACTGTTTCTTCTTTGAAGAGATCGTGTCCTCTGTCCTTTTGATCTGATAGCAGATCTTTTTTATATTTTTATATTTCCGCTTTTTGACTACTATTTTGTCTTCTCCCCATTTCTACTTGTCATTTTCAACATTCCCCATTTTTCCTTTTCTTAAGTGGATAATCTGGGAAGGCAGGGCCTGTACTTTTTGGACTCTTTCCACCTGCTGGTGTATCTCTAACTTTTGAGCCCTCAGAAAGAGGATTTGCCTGAAACCCTCTGGGACTATACAGAGGGGGACAATGAGATGGACACAGATATCTTCACTAAATCAAGTAACATAAAAGGAAAGCAGCTTAAAAATAATGGAAATTGAAGAGGAAATTTTCTTTCTATTAAAGTTGAAATAATTTTCCATTGTGCATTTTCTTTTCTTTAGGACCACCTGAAAAAAAAGTAGTGGTGCACCTTAAGAAGTTGGATACAGCATATGATGACTTTGGCAATTCTGGCCATTTCACCATCATTTACAATCAAGGCTTTGAGGTTGTGTTGAATGACTACAAGTGGTTTGCCTTTTTTAAGGTTAGTTTCTTTGGAAAATGCACTCGTTTTCAATGATTTAATAATAAGATTAATAAGATTAAAAAGACAATCAGCATCGACACCACTTTTCCTAAGAGAAATAGATGGTATAATTTCGTCAATTTATTTAAAATGATTCAGTAGATTAAAACAAATTGATTTATATTTGGATACATACATTCCATCTGTGTTTAAATTTACATTGTGGTAAGTATGTCCAAATTCTTAATTTATTTTTTTATTATAACTTTATTTCTAAATGTTACCTAAATCGCTTGGCTTTGATTCCGTAGGAAAGGTGGGCATTATAAATATTTTTTGGACTTATTATATTTTTATGCTATCCTTCTTATCATTGCTTCTTGGTTCTGAGAAGTTGACCTAAGTGACTCATTGAAGTAATATGATATACTAACTGTATTAATGTGAATAACTGACTAAAGTAAGACAAAGAGATAGAGAGCATAGGAGTTACTCTTTGGACTAATTAAATAGGTAGTCCAGCTAGACCAGTGTGTTTTCTTCCCTCACTAGGGAAGAACTGTTGTCCGTTCTTACATGCTAACACATTGCTTTCAACTGCAGGCACACTCCAGGGTAAAATTGTTTAGCACAGATTGAAGTCTACCCTACATATCTTTCTGAAGTTGGAATTTTTCCTGTTGGCAGAGTATTAAATGGTTTAAATAAATTAAGTCTGTAAGCCTGAAACTAGCTGCTTCTTACTACAAATCAAGAGTAAATAAAGACAGACTTTTCCGTGAGATAGAGTTTACAGCCTTTGGAACATCTGGTAAGAATTGGCCAATTCTAGGGATTCATGGGAAAGTGGGAGAATGACTCAGTTAAAGATGATGAAAGACAAAGCACCAACAAAGCACTACCTTCTAAATTATAATTTCTCTCACGAGTTGTGATTCAATTACTAGGATATGATATTACATGTAAGCCAATGCGATTTCTTGGAATAATAGCTGCCTAAATTTTTTAATTATGAGGACTCCTCTTTAGTATGGAAGAAAAGAAAACGGAGACAGAGAAGAAAAAGTTGTCTCCCCTCACCTGGATTGACTTGTCTGCTACTCATCTGGCAGAAACTGTCTATACATGCTGGCTGTTGAGGGCTAGGAGTCCATTTTATTAGTTGAAACCCATGTTTGACCAGTCATTATATATTTTTAATATCACCCCTGGATACTCTGTATTTTTTAAAATTATAACAGTATCTATATGAATTTTTAAAATAGTAGTGCATATGTGGTAAATGTAATTCAATCTCATTTTAATTCTTGGTTTGCATATTGATGAGCCTAGGGCTTTACAGCTTTACAGACCTCTTAAAGGTAATCTGTCACAGCTCTTCAATATTTTTTGCCTTCAGGTTGAGAATTCTGTGGAATTAATGTACAAGCAAAGAGATGTTCAAGATAGATATTACATATATCCTCCCCGCTTCTTACTCTGCTTCCCCTTCACCTTCTTCCCTTTTCTCTCCCCTCTGCTTTCTTGCTTGATACATCAATAGGCACTTAGTCCATATTCATTTAAAAAAAAATGAAAATGAATGGATGCAGTGGAATTCAGCTGAGAAATAGGAAGTTGAATAAATTGCATAAGTGCAAGATGAGGAGTAGTATATGTATAGATGAGCAAATAGTTTACCCATTTGGCTTAGAAAACTTCATTCTTTCTCTAAAATTGAAGATACCGGTGAGGAAACTTCTAAAGTCAGCATTTAAATTACTCTAGTCATAATCAGAAATTGACAAGGGCAATTTTCCTCCAATAATATTTTTCAGTCAGTTTGCTCTGAGCTTATATAGGAGTCTGGAGCTGGTAGGGACAGAGAGAACGGATGGTAACTGAAGGAGGTGTCAAAACACTTCTTTGAATTTCTTTTTAAATTACAACATAAGCAAATTTGGTATTTTTCCATCTCCTCAGCACATTAGTAGCAGGTCAATAGAAAACCACTTTTTAATGCCAGGTAAGTGTTCTCAACCATAAGTAGGAAGAGTCACTATAGTTGATGTTGTAGGGCAGATCCTACCTAATCATTTGCTTCTTGATGGTATTCTCTCATTAGGAATAAAAATGGGAACAGTGTTCTAATGCTGATTTCAGTATATATTTTTTAAGTGCACATTTGACAGAACCATTATTTGGGTCATTTTTTCTTTTCCTGATGAAAAATCTACCCCTCTGACTGGTCAGTGGTTAGACCTTGCTGCAAAGTTCATAATTTCGATAAGCAGAGTAGAATACACATAAGAAACTTTGTTTTAAGATTTCTCTTAACATAATCAACTAGTTCCAGATAAACATATTTTGTAGAGTGATACAATCCTTATCCTTTTAGCAAATCTAACTGAAAGATACAGGGAACAGTTTTTCAAAGTTTAAGAAAAGTAATAGAGTTGACTTTAGAAAATAGGAAAATTAAAAGTGTTTGGTGATGCTCGTTAACACTGAAATCTTGCTGGATTTTACCACAGCATCAGAGTATTTCCTGCAGTGGTATTGTGGAAACCATGCTGGGTGTGTAATTCAAGAAAAATACAAACCTATTTAACGAGTAAAGCACATGAGACATTCCTACAGACTTAGAAAGTATCTTAAGTGAAAATAATTTATTTTTTTAAATGAAGAATTATCAGTACCTAATCAATATTTGTTATTCAAGTTTAAGTGTCTTATATAAATTAACAGCATAGTCCATTGAGCCTACCACCATTATGGAAATATCTGGCAAATTTTTGCTATGTCAACTTGCTACAGTAGTCTCTACACTGTTATTCTACAGATCAATTGGATTTTCAGATCTCTCCGTTGATTAATACAGACCTTACCATTTGTTTTTCTTTTGAGCTCTTCAGATATGCTTTCATCAGATTGTTTCTTATTGCTGTTTCTGCTAGAGTTTGCTGAGCAGGTGATACACGCAGGTATTCTGTTAGGCTCCTGCTCCACCTTCTGTTCCCCCAGATCATCCTGCAGCTAGACAGAGTAGACAGCTTCCACATTCTTTACCCTGCATTCCAACTTTGGAGTAATTGTGATACCACTCCTATTGCTAGAAACTTCCTTCATTAAGTTCTTATTCAGGCCTCACTTGGAAATAGTAGGCAAATATTCTTAAAAGATACTTTTTTCTTCTCGACTTCCTGCAGACATTCAGTTATCTGAACACTTTTGGGTTTACAAATTCAAATGCATTTAGGACTTACCCAGGCAGGTCCCTAAACTTTTGAAACAATTTTAAGTAAAACAATGAGTAATTAGACCCATGTCACAACAGAAACTTTATTAGAGGCTTTCATTTTCAATTTTCCTTTAAAACAATATGCTGCCGAAAATAAAATGCAATACTGTCTGCAGGCCGCTTTCGAAGACTATCATATTTTAATAGCACGGACTATTTGGTTATAGTTGGCACATTCCAATAAGTTTGTAACTTGAAAAGTACCTGCATATTAAAAACAGCCAACTTCTTGGAAATAACACAATGTAACAAGACAAAACAATATAAAGGACATTTAATTATGGCTGACTTTATGCACAGGGTGGATAAGTGGTAATTTTTTCTTCTTTATGCTTTTATATATTTGTTCATTTATGATGAGTATGTATAAAGCTCCTCTGTACGCCACCCTCTCTACCAAATTGCCCAGAGGAAGGAAGTCATATGAAACAAACTAACTTCCAAAGAATACCTCAGGTTGAATAGACTTTCTAACCTTTTACTGTTTCTCATTTCACTTTCTCCAAGGCTGTAAAAGGAAGCAGTAGAGAAGGAACTTAGATTTTTTTGAAAATTAAGCTATTCAAGAGCTGAAGATGTATAGAAGGGATATAGACTCATTGTGGCTGAAAAATTTATTTGGTGATAGTCAAGCAAACTTCACTGATTTCTAATTGAGTTTTTGTTTGAGGTCCACCAGTCTTAAAAGAACTGTAAGCTAAAAAATACTACGGTAGTGTTTCTAAAGCAGGTTGTTATTCAAAACAGGAAAATTCGGGAGTCTTGGAATGTTTGGGAAATGGTTGGGAAATCCATACCAGAGGATTTATTTGCCCATTTTTGTGCCAGTGACTTATAAGTTTCAAGCTTGTCAGAGCCAGAAATGCTAATCATGTGTTTCTACAGTAAAGGATTTGGGAATCTTGTACCATTTTTCTGCTGTGCCTTCTGGGTTCATTTTTAAGATGTAAGAATTCAGCTTTTAGAATACTTCTTATTGGGATAGATTTGCTTGTTTTAATGTAGATGAAATATACCAAGGTTAGGATTTTTCTTTAAACACCTAGGGGTTTACTTCTAAGAGTGTTTCAATTGAGGGACAGAATAATAAGTTTAGCACTTAATGCATGCTTAACTATGTGTTTTGTTTTCTTTCATGATGATGTTTAATCTCAGCATAATGACTTAGTTTACCATTGTAAACTTTTCATAGGATGTCACTGATTTTATCAGTCAGTTGTTCATGCAACTGGGAACTGTGAGAATATATGCTTTGCCACATCAGAGGAACAACCTGGGTGAGCTCCATTGAAATATTTTTAACTTTCTTATTAGAAGCAAGCTTCCCTCCTCCTGGTGGCTTATGTAAATTAATGTTTATTTATTCATCAGTGAGATGGAGAAGAAGACTGGAGAGATTATGGTTTTCTTGTAGATTTTTTGCTTGAGCCTGCTTATTTGCTATCTCTTACATACCTACACTATTTGGTGTGAGTGCTTTTTCACTTTAGCATGTTATTCTGTTTGCAAACATCAAATTAGCTCTCCCAAGTATGATGCTCACAACACAAGTAGACATCAACCCAGAAAGGTATAAAGACCCAGTTAAGAAAAGGTTGCCTCAAGTTCAGTTCACACCCTTGAAGTAGCTATGCTGCCCGCCCCCAAAAAACAGGCTCATTAGGAAACCACATGAGGCCATGGCATTTTAAGTGTGTTTTCTAGCAGAGAAGGTGCCTCTTCCAGAGAAATTGACATA